GCTTTCTCAAATACAAAGTTTTTAAATTTTTCCTAAATATTTTTTGTTTCTCTATATTTTTTACTTTCTGATTTTTTATATTGTTGACTTTATATTTAGTGAATTAATCAGGGTTCTACAGAGAATGAGAGAGAGACGAGGAAGAGGAGAGGGAGATTGATTTATTATAAGGAATGTCCCACGCGATTCAGAGAATGGCAAGTTTGGAATCTGCAGTGTGGCTTGCCAGGCTGTAGTCCCAGAAATTTTATGGTGCAGATGAAGTCAAAGACTTCCAGTGGAGCATTCCTTCTTGCTTGGAAAAGATGGTCTTTTTGTTTTACTCGGGCCTTCAACTGGTTGGATAAGGCCCACGCGCAATGTGGAGGGCAACCAGCTTTATTTAAAGTTCACCAATTTAAATGTTTATCTCATCCAAAACCACTCTCCATGTTGACACATAAAATTAAATCATCACATTTAGTAAATTCTTCTCTACCTCCACATCACATATTCACTTCTGTTGGTTGCCATTAACTTCTCTAAAATTCTTGGCTATACATAACACATACCTGCCTAATGACTCTGTATCAAAAACAAATGACACTAATGCATATAGCCTACTTCTGCACTCTTTAGTAATTCTGTGTGTTTTAAATAGAGAAACGGAACCTTAGAAATGTTTAGTGATTTCTTTTAAGTGAAATACAATTATTTAATGCTGAGTAGAACTTGAGATCTTTTACTACTTTCAGATGTTGTCTTAGAAGTAAAATCCCTTGTAAATTGGGTTGTGCTTATATATCTAATATGGAATTGAATGTTATGTAAATAGTTGTAAGTGTGATTACCATTCATCAGAACATTCTAGGATATTTGTAATCAGCATACGATCAATAGCAGAAGTCTAAATTAACTTCAAATAATTTTGAGAAGTAAGTAGAATAATAATTATAGATGATGTACAAAGTGATCCAGACACCAGGAGATTTCATTATACATAACCATGTGAATCTGGAGAAAGTGAATATTTTGGCACATATAAATCCGATGCTGCTGGTAGGAGTAAGCTTTCTCCAAAATGTTACTCTTGTTCAAAGTTACATTAAATAATGTGCAGTGTTGGCATATTTTCAGTATATTTTTATAATGTAATTTGTTAATTTGATTATTTAAAGAAAAAGAACATTTTGCACTCATTAACTGGGTAATGATACATATTTTGTTTGAATTACTAAAATAATCACAGGTATTTTAATATAATCTGACAGATCTTTAAAATTTTTCTTCATTTGTAATTGGGGGAAATAAACAAGATTCATTACCACAAATTTCCATTAACATATGGTTTACTCCCCAGTCTCTGTTGTGGTAATTGGCCATGAATGACCATCTTTAAGGGTTTCTTAATTTGTTAGGAGAGAAGACATAGATATTTATATATGAAGTCCAAAGAAGACTCAAATCTGAAGTTCTCTAGCTTAATAAAGGGATGCTTTTCCTGAATTATTTTTTAAAAGAGAGGAGAAAAAGATGATTAAATTTTCCCAGGAATACAAATATTCATGTTTCCAAGAGTTTTATTCAAGTACTGTAGATTCGAAATACAAAGTGAAGAATCTGCAGGGTCAGCACAAGTATCAATTCCAGGTTAGTAAAGAGCCTTTGATACATCTTTAGTGACTATATGTCTGAAAATGCAAGTAAAATAAAGACTAATTTATTCTATTATTTTGTATATCAAGTCACTGAAGTAAAACATATTAACTTGTCAGTTACAATTAAATTTTGTAATTTTTGTATTTAAGTAGCATTTGTAGGTGTACAAAATTAAGCTCGTTTTTTTGATTACAAATTCAACATTTGTTTAGTAATCTTTAAAAAGCCTTTGCATATCATAGTTCTTTGAAATTACATCCCTATACAAGTCTACTTTGTTCCACTTTTTTGACATACATTTTAAGCGATTTATTGATACTAATTTACATACAATAAATTTCACTCAATTTAAGTGTACAAATCAATAATTTTTAGTATATTTACAGAGTTATAAAACAGTTATATCTAAATTTAGAACATCTTTGATTCAATAGCAAGTTAAATGTTTTTTTAAAAATTTTGTTTCCTGAGTTTTTAATTTGATTATTTCAACTTTCCATTAACTTAATCTGTATAAAACACTAAGTTAAACACAGTTATGTTTCACTTTTACATGTGAAATTTTTCATGGTCATAGAGAGAAAAAAGAAACAATAAAAATACAGCCATCGTAGTCTGTAATATATATGCTAGGATAAGCGTCAGGGTAATCTAGCTAAGTTTATGTAGAGTTTCTGAATTGTGATTGTATCCATTTTGAAAGCAGTGGCATTTAACGACAGATTTATAATCCTAGTCTAAAAAGGGGTGGCATCTATAAAAAAAAAAAAAAAAGGCATTGTAATTAAATCTTTTAATATAAGGTATTTATGAAAATTCAAGAAGATCAAAGTAAATTTTGACTCTTATTATCCTGACGAAAACCTAGTTGTGGTGTGTGATTTTTTTAGTGGACTAAAACAGATACAATAAATGTTTATTTCTATTGATTTAATAATTCTACCACTATACCATTCACATCTTTAGAATATTTCAGATCTAAAATCTGTTAATTTAATTCCCTTTAAAAACCTTATAAAACCATTATTTCATGTTGTAGTTTCCACTTTTATAAAGGGTCAGTATAATAAAAGCTCATATGAATGATAGTTTGCATATTTTGTGCAATTGTTCATGAATAATACTTTCAATGTCTTTTCAAAAAGAGTTATATGATATCTTCGTCTTAGTGAGGAGAATGAGGAACTAGTTTATTTCTGGTGATAAACTAATAATGAGACCCAGACATCTCATTCTACTTCCTCTGGAGGCTCAGAGCTAGATTTTTAAATTGAATGCTGAATTTCTCAGTCATTCCTGTATAATTGTGAGCCCCTTCCCCCGAAATTATTGTGTAGATTTTATGTTCCTTCTGGTCCTTATTGAGAGGTCCTGAAAAATATCTCTTTCACTGAAAGCCATCCTAAAACCCTCTTAGAAGTGGTCAGTTTATAAATAATAAATCTACAAATGAGTAGATCATTGGCTTTTTAATCTCAAACTCAATTGATTAAAAAATGACAAGAGTGATAATAAACGATTGATTTCCCTTTATACTGTTTGGTTTTTATACTGAATTAAGTGAGATGGAAATCTGTCTTGGTGTTATTCGGATATGGTTTGAGTGAGTAAGTGTGTGAATAAGCAAGTGAGTAAGGAAGGAGAAGATGGCCTGACTACTGCCTAAAACTGTCCCGGAAGAAAGCAAGATTGTCAAGATTCCAAAGTGAGCTTTATGGAAATGGATGTATGATGATAAATTCACTAAAAGTCATAATTGAGTTTTACACTTAAAATAGGTGAATTTTACAGTAGTTAAATTATATATTAACAAAGTGGGTTATATATATATATATAAAAAAAAAGATTCCCAGTAGGCTTAACATGAGAGAAACCTCAACTCTATTGCTCTTTAGGATACAATATCTTGAGCTAAACATTAGTTGGAGAATAAGATACAATTATCCTGAACTAAACTTTCCTTATAATTCATTTGATCAAAAGCATTATAACAAATCTTATACCACAAGATTTTCTGAGAAAGTTTTTTTACTTTTAAAACAAAAGTAAAATAAAAAATAAATTAAAAAAATAAACAGCAAAAAAACTTGATTGCACTTGAAAAAAAGTGAAATATATTTTCATTATAATAAATAAAAAGCACAACAATCATAAAGAAATAAATTAACAATATACTACTCTACATCCCTGTTAGCATAGTTAATTATCAGTCTATACTCTTTTCTTCTCCATATCTAGAATTTGCTGATTATAGCCCATATTTCTGGGCTTTTGAAATATTTTATAAGTGAACTCCGTCAGATCTGTGTTATCTGTAAATCTGTTAATTATGTCTTATCCAGGTTGTTGATGAAGAGCAAGGTTGGTGAAAGGGTCCTGTGGCCTGCAACTAGAGGCTATTCTCTCTGATAGCATAGATGAATGCTTTAGATTAAAACTATATGTAGCTGTGCTGTTTTTTAGAGCAAATTTTCCTCAAAGACATTATCTGAGAATATGATAAATGCCATTCTACGACTCACATACAATCCAATAATGTCATTCCCCCCAAATTACTAAAAAACATATGTTAACTATGTTAACTTGAGTTCATGATCTGGGATCTATCTTCTATTTATACATCATCCCAATATATTTTACACTCAGAACATGCTTTTTTTTTTTTTTAGTTTAAAGCAATCTTTCTCTTTTTTACTTTGTTATCAAAGAATGAAATTTACTTCTCTTGGCTTCAGGAGAGAGACATGTTGATTGGTATTCAAATTCATGCCATACAACCAAAAATGCTTTTGCTAGATTGTCTCTTGTGTTTCTGTGGGTAAATGGAGAGAAAGAAGGGGAGTGAGAGAGACTTGATAATGTGTATGCAATTGCCTTTGTTTTACAAGATGACATTGTTTTTTAACTGGGCATTAATTTAAAGTCTTAGGTCTAATGCTTAAAAGCAATCACCCATTGCGTGATGACATTGACACAGATGGAGAGAACATAATATCATTTAGAAAATCTTTATATTATCAATAGTCCTAAGGATTTTTGGTTCATATTCTATACTTGAGTCCACATTTTCCATGGACAAAGATTAGGCAAGTGAGAAAGAGAATGTTCCTACAATTCTCACCTATGCTGGAGTCTCCCCAGATATTCAACCGTCCATAACAAAACAAAGAAGACTGGAAAAGGTAAATATACATGTTCGTATTGACTTGGTTTGAATATTCCATATACTGTATTTTAGATGATCTCCTACAAATTAAAAAGTACATTCAGATAACACATAGTGGATCACTTTTATGTGCCTGGCAATTGGCACTTACGTCTCTTTTCTTTATGTAGATTCAGAACAAAATCTGAAACCTGAGATAATGGACCTGCAGAATTATTCCTTGGTGTCAGAATTTGTGTTGCATGGACTCTGTACTTCACAGTATCTTCAGAATTTTTTCTTTATATTCTTCTCTGGGATCTACGTGGCCACCATACTGGGTAATTTCATCATTATTCTTACTGTAACTTCTGACCCCCGTTTGCACACTTCTCCTATGTACTTCCTGCTGGGGAATCTATCTTTCCTGGACATATGGCTGGTCTCATTTGCCACCCCTAAGATGATCAAGGATTTTCTTAGTGATAGAAAACTCATCTCCTTTGGAGGATGTATGGCTCAAATCTTCTTCTTACACTTTATTGGTGGGGCTGAGATGGTACTTCTGGTTTCCATGGCTTATGATAGATATGTGGCCATATGCAAACCCTTGCATTATATGACTGTGATGAGTCGGCAGACTTGCATCCGGCTGGTGTTTATTTCATGGGTCATTGGATTTGTACACTCCATCAGTCAAATAGCTTTTACTGTTAATTTACCTTACTGTGGCCCCAATGAGGTGGACAGCTTCTTCTGTGATCTTCCTCTTGTGATCAAGCTTGCTTGCATGGACACCTACGTCTTAGGTATCCTTATGATCTCAGACAGCGGGTTGCTTTCCATGAGCTGTTTTCTGCTCCTCTTCATCTCATACACTGTTATCCTCATCGCTCTGCAAAAGCATGCTGCTGGTGGAGTAGCCAAAGCACTCTCTACTTGCTCCGCACATATCATGGTAGTCACGCTCTTCTTCGGACCCTGCATTTTCATTTATGTGTGGCCTTTCAGTCGGTTCTCTGTGGACAAGCTCCTCTCTGTGTTTTACACCATTTTTACTCCACTCTTAAACCCCCTTATCTACACATTGAGAAATAAAGAGATGAAAACATCTATGAAGAAACTGTGGAACCGATGTGTGACTTTTCAATGACTTTCAGCTTTCCATAATGCTTCATGTGCTTAAACGTTAAGGAGATATCATTTTTTAATATGACTTTGCTTGAAGATTCCATTCTGACACTATATTGGAATAATTTGTATTGTGTCATATTGCAGAGAAATAATTATTGATTTCAATAAAAATTAAATATGTAATTTTATTATATATATTCAACCCCACAATACACTTTGGAATTAACCTTGCAATTTTTTTTGTTTTAAAAAAACAGATTTCTCTTATGAATTTATTTTGTCGAAAATATTGATACAAAAATGAATTTTCATTTCCTAATTATAGTAAGAGCTGTCAGTTCATAGGCAGTAAGACATGAGACATTTGGTACAGGGAATCTAACCTGAGAGTAAATAATGCCCTGTGAATCTTTGTCCTGGTTTTGAAAGCCCGAGAGGAGAAAAAACAAACTATCTAACAAACAAAAAAAACACCATTTCAAGATCCTATTGATTTAAAAAGTATACTTTTTCTTGTGATTGTGCATCATGTTTAATCTTTTTATTTGAAAAATGAATGTTTGTCAGTGATATTAAATTACAGAAGTTAATTTTAACATGGGAAAATCAATATTTTATGGCTAAATATTCCATGGTATAAACATAAGCTATAGTGTTACTGTTTAATATGCATTGGATTATTAAATTAATAAATTTTCACCAACAGCAGATTTTATTTTATTTTTTATTTTATTTTTTTTAGGTGAGGCAACCCTTAGTTGACCTCATAGATTGCAAGGACCTTGTCAGTTTACGATCCCTTGTTTTTTTATTTTTTATGCCTACAGCACCTGGTCTTCCTAGGTGGTCTCCCTACCCTGCTTAGCTTCTGAGATCAGACGGGATCTGGCTTGTTCAGGGTAGCATGGCTATAGACCAGAGCAGATTTTAAACAAACACTATATTTTACTGAATTGATTCTGTCCTTTGGGGAATCATCTCTTAGGAAGTGTGCTTGAATACCACAGATTTAGATCTTATACTTAGTTTTTAAATGTCTTTGGATCCTAAAAATATAATCATAAACAAGAGTTAGATTTTATATTAACGAAACTAATGCTCAAGGAATTCAAGCAATTTTCTTCTATGTTGATTCTGAAACATCAAACCAAAGGATAGGAATGGATAATGACTGAATTACTTGAGTAACGATGAAACTTTCAATAATTTTGGAAATTGTATTCAATCAGGAAAAGCATGCTCCTGGGTACTTCTGACTTCCCTTATGACTGCAGTCCCACACATATGCATAAACATCAAAAGAACATAGAAGGAAAACAACTTCTGGCTTAGGATATTTTCTCAAGAGTCCCCTTGCTTGCTGTTGCGATAATACTGTACTTTGATTTGACAGACTTTGGACGTAGTAAATTTTTATGATCATTCACACTCATATATGTGAACATTAAAAGAGCCTAAAAGGAAATTCAGATCTGATTTAGGATTTTTTTTTTATTAACGTAATACTGATGGTTGACTTTATAGACTTTAGACATAGTCATTTTAATCATCAAAATATAACAAATACTATTTATACAGGTGTATATTCAGTTAATTAATGTTTGTCAAGCACCTGCTACATTTCAGATTCCATGCGCTGAGCTAGGAGTGGAGAAAAAGTATTTAAGAACACATATTCCCAGTTTAGTGGAATAAAAGCATGTATAGAGACAAAATACACTCTGAAGTGAGAGTTATGATAGAAATAAACATGATATGCTCTGAGACTATGTAGGAGGAAAACCTAATCCAGTTCTAATGGTTAGGAAAGATTTCCTTTATTACTTCAAATTTTCTCTGATTTCCTAGGATTCTGTATTGTCTTATTCACACACACACACACACACACACACACACCATGGTATGTTTAGCATAGAACAAGTCACATAGTAAATGCCCCCAAAGTTGTTAGATTCCACAAGGTGTTCCTGACTTTTAAGAACTATCCAGTAGCTCATGTTCCATTTCTAATTTCTGCTCAACACTCCATCTTACTTTGGTCAGATCTATGAAGATGGCTGTGGACCAACTGCACTATAAGTTTAGGTGCAGAAATCCTGGGGTTTAGTTGTCTGGATGGAATAGAAATGGCTGCTTGATGTATTAGTAAAACCTGAGTGAGAGGACTCACCAGTTTCTGTTTTCCACAAACTGCAGGCTTTTGCAGGAAATTTGCCATCATCATTTCAATAGGAATCCACAGAGTCTGAATAAAGTAAATTCTTTGAATTTGAGGAAGCATTTATAAAATTCATTTTCCTATTTTGAAATAAGATAAGTTAAATACAGAATACAGAGTTTCTCGAAGTGTAATTTGAAGACTGCCTATATTAAAATTATCTGGGATACTTTTATTTATTATATTTTTATTAAATTTGTTGGTGTGATATTGGTTAATAAAATTATCTAGGTTTCAAGTGTACAATTCGATAATACATCATCTGTATATCACATAATATTCACCATCCAAAGTCAAATTTCCTTCCGTCACCATATCTTTGACCCCTTTTACCCTTATCTACCTTTCCCTCTACCCTGCTTCCCTCTTGTAACCACTAAAATGTTGTCTGTGTCTATGAGTCTCTTTCAGATTTATATCCCACTTATAAGTGAAATCATATGTTTCTCAACTTTTTCTGTCTGACATTTCTCTTAGCACAAAAATCTCAAGATCCATCCGTATTGTCGCAAATGGTAGTATTTCATCTCTTCTTATGGTTGGGTAATAATCCATTGTATATAAGTACCACATCTTCTTTATCTAATCATCTATCGTAGGGCACTTCGATTTTTTTCATGTCTTGGCCACTGTGAACAAAGCTGCTATGAACAATAGGGTGCATAGATCTTTACAGATAAATGCTTTCAAAATTTTGGGGTAAATACCCAGAAGAGAGATTGCTGGGTCATAAGGTAATTCCATTCTTAACTTTTTGAGGAACCTCCATACTGTTTTCCATAGTGGCTGTACCGATTTATATTTCCTCTAGTAGTGTATAAAGGTTTCTTTTTCCCCACAACCTCTCCAACACTTGTTATTACACTTTCTGTTGATGATAAGCATTCTAACAGGTGTGAGGTAGTATCTCATTGTGATTTTGATTTGCATTTCCCTAATCACTAGTGAAGTTGAGCATCTTTTCATGTCTGTTGGCCATTTGTATGTTTTCTTGGGAGGAGTGTCTGTTCAGGACCTCTGTCCATTTTTTTCAATTGGATTATTTGGGGGTTTTTTGTTTTATTATTGAGTTGTATGAGTTTTTTTGTATATTTTGGATATTAATCTCTTATCAGAAGTGTTATTTACAAATATCTTCTCCCATTCAGTTAATTGCCTTTGTTTTGTTGATGGTTTCTTTAGCTGTGCAGAAGCTTTTTAGTTTGATGTAGTCCCGTCCATTTATTTTTACTTTTACTTCCCTTTATTTGAGGTCAAATTCTTAAAATTCTGTCTAAATCCAGGGTCCATGAGTTTAGCATCTATGTTTTCTTCTATGTAATTTATTGTTTCAGGTCTTATATTAGGGCTTTGATGCATTTTGAATTAATTTTTGTGCATGGTGACAAGATAGCAGTATAGTTTCATTCTTTGCAAGTATGGTGAACAATTTCTGAGTATTTTTATATACGCAGAAGGAATCCTCTTTTGATATGTCTGTTTTCTTGAGAATATCTATAGATCTTTACTTATATTTCTATTTAGACATGTATCATTTAGTCTGTAGCGTTTAATATTTATGTTTCCTTATATTTTACTTTTCCTAAAAATACTGATTTTATAGTATGTACTTTTTATCTTCTCCTTTTACTATAAATTGTTGAACAGATTTTTTAAACATCACTTTTTCCATATATCATTGTTCAGTGGGAAATGTCTAGCATCAATACAGAGCCTTTGTAAATTATTCTGTAGTGAAAATTAACTGGATTATGTCTTTATGATTAATTGCCTCAATCTTGCTGAATTTTGATTCTCAATTACCTACTCTCTTGGTACTACTGATATTAAAGTATTGACTGAGAATTCAAATATAGACCTCTCTGATTCCATATTCTATGTCTATAAAGTCACATGATTTATAGTTGTTTGCATTATGAACTGAATTCATAATTATCTGTTCGCTATGGAGATTCTGAATTTACTGACAACAGTGGTGGTACATCCAGAAATGTTTTGATGTTTCTTGTGAGAGCTCTGACAAAATTTGATCTGTTCTTGCTTCTGTAATATCACTCAAAGTGTTTTCAAAGTCTCAGTGAAAAACTTATAATATCTTTCTAAGTATAGGAAAAGAAAACAACTCTGAAATATCTCTCTCCTAATTATTACCACATTGATCAGAGAAGACATATAAGCCTCTTGCATTCATTCAACACATTTCTATGAAGTCAGCAATTCATTTTATTTCAGGCATTTTAAAAAGTGTTAGAAGTGTAAAGATAATAAAGACAGACCCTCAGTCTTCAATGAATTTACCTAATATTTTTAGCTCTGTCTCAGCTGCACAAATTAGTTCCTGAAATTGATTCTATAATTCACTGACTAAAAAAGCTATAAAAATAAAAATACTCCATAGTCTATTTATATTTAACTTTCACATTTTATTTGTGCCTAATTCTTTCTAAATTTGACTGTCAATTTAATTTTCCTAACTTTGATTAAAAAAAATCTCAGCAAGCAATAAAGAAGCCTCTGACTATTTTTTTATATTTTTTATTTTATTTTATTTTTTCAAGTTTTTCTAAATTTATTTTATTTTATTTTATTCTTAAATTTTTAATTGTTTATTGAGGTAACATTGTTTAATACAATTATGTAATTTTCAGGTGTACATTATCATTTGACATTTGTATATTCCATTGTGTGTTTACCACCCAAAGTCCAGTTTCCTTCAGCTACCATATATTTGATCCCCTTTAACCACTTCACCCTCCCCCTAAACCCTATATTTGATCCTCTTTCCCCCATTTACCTCCCCG